GCCGGCTAGGTCACCCCCCCGGGGAAATCCCGGCTCTCTTGGCCCTAATGAGTTAATTACTTCCTGTGCTGCAGTTAAAAACTCATAGGCTGCTTCCCTTGGGCTTGCAAAGAAACCTCCCTAATGAAAACCAGCCACGGCGAGAGGAAAAAGGAGTTTTTTCCTCTTTAAATATTAAACATACATATATATATATATGGGGAGGGGGAGGCAGACAGAAACTGGCGGCTGGGGCTGGTGGCCAGTGAGGGCTGGGTTAAGGTTGAGGAGCCGAAATGGAGGATGATGAGGAGTTTCTTCCTCTTGCTCGTGCCCCATGCCCGGCTGCACGTGAGGACGCTCTGCGTGTCCCCTGTGTCCACCTCTGCCATGCAGAATGTCCCCTGCAGCCCCCTGTGGGGAGGGTCTCGAGTGTCCAAAGGAGCAGGACAAGCCCCCTTCCCCCCTTCACTCCGTCCAACTTTTGCACCAACTGGTTCAAATTTTTGGCCCGAGCTCTCAGAGACCAGCCTGGCATCCTACCCCACGGACACACTTCCTGCGGAATAACCTGGAGTGGCCCTTTCCCCAAAATTTACCCCCCAAAATCACTCAGGGAACAGCCTGGCCAATCCTCACAGCCAGTGGGATCAGTCCTTTGGAGGATGCCCACATTCCCACAGGGATCTGTCCACTGTCCCCTCCCTTGGCCCAAAGGTCCCCTCAGGGCCAGGGAACATCTTGCCAGGATTATTTCACAGGGGGCCGCAGTGTCACGGCCCGACCTGCCTCCCCCCGCAGTCATCATCCTCTTCCTCCTCGTGCCCTTGGCCAGACCCAGCTCTTGAACCCATCTGGCTTTTCCAGGGGCTTTTGCTCAGCTCACGGCGTTAAATAATTAAACAGAGGGAATAATCGTCGGCGAAACCCCCTTGGGTTCGCACTTCCTCGGGCCCTGTGATTGCTGATTTTTTTTTTCGGGGTGAAATATGACCTTTTTTATGATCAAAGGGGATCAGAGTTCCAAAGGAAAGTTTAAAAAAAAGAAAAAAGAAAAAAACCCAAGCATTTTCTTTTTCCCAATCCTAGTGGTCTGGTAAAGTTTCTTTAGACATGCAAAGATTTACACACCTTTCTGCAGGGTGCCTTAAATTACCCTCGGACTCTTTACACATTTCCATGAGCGGAGCAAGAACAGTAAGTCATTGAGAAATTAACTGGCCTTTCAGTAATATCCCCTGTCGGCCTTTCAGAAGGGGAATGTCTAATGACTTTTTTGAAGTAGAGGTCAGGGTTTGCTTTTTTTAAATAAAACAATCTGTATTAATGCAATTTCCTTTTTAGCTGTAGGATTTGACTTTTTTTTTTTTTCTTTTCCCAAGCATCATTTTTTTTAGCCCCACCAGCCGCACAAGGCACCGAAGCCAGACCCATTTGTTTGCAACCCCCTGTCCACTTGGTTCCTGGCTCGCCACAGCAAGATCTTCTTTTGGAATAGAAAAATAAAAATGCTTTTCAAGGGATTAACAGTGGAGCGTAGAGCTGGCTTGGTGATTCCCACCCAGGATGCCCTTTCCCGGTGGAAACGCTCCCGTGATCCTGCTAGGATCAGGCGCAAGGGACTCCAGCTGGGCTGCACTGTGGGCTCCAAGGGGCTGATGCCACATGCCTGGGACGCAGCTTTGTCCCTAAAGGTGCCAACCCAGAGTGGCACCCTCGTCAGGGATGGGCAACCAGCTTGCTGCCTTGGAAGAGCCATGGGACACATCCCTGCAAGGACTGCGCACCCTTGCAAGGACTGCATGCCCCTGCAAGCATCGTGCATCCCCTGCAAGCACTGCATGATTTCTGCAAGCACCGCATGTCCCCTGCAAGCAATGCTCACCCCCTGCAAGCGCTGCACACTCCTTGCAAGCGCTGCACACTCCTTGCAAGCATTGCACATCCTCTGCAAGCACCGCATGTCCCCTGCAAGCAATGCACACCCCCTGCAAGTGCTGCACACCCCCGGTTGGAGTGGAGGCCACCAGGGCTTTGGGGTGCTCAGTGCCAGGGAATTTTTCTTGGCTGGAGAGCCCCAGTGCCCAGGTGGCCTCTCGCAGCACTCACAGAGGACAGTGGTGTCCCTTGCCACCTACAGCTGCGATTTTGTCCCCGGATGCTCATGGCCATCTCCTGCAGCCGACCCCCTGCCTGGGATTGCTGCAAGCCAAGCAGGAGTGGCCAGGCCCTATGCGGGTCCCTATGGGTGCCTGTCCCTCCAGCACCAGGTGCCAGGAACAACCCACGCTCCAGCCCGGTCACGCAGAGGGATCAGGATGCTGGGGTCAGCACCGTCAGCTGCGATTTGGTCCCCGGATGCTCATGGCCATCTCCTGCAGCCGACCCCCTGCCTGGGATTGCTGCAAGCCAAGCAGGAGTGGCCAGGCCCTATGCGGGTCCCTATGGGTGCCTGTCCCTCCAGCACCAGGTGCCAGGAACAACCCACGCTCCAGCCCGGTCACGCAGAGGGATCAGGATGCTGGGGTCAGCACCGTGTGGCCCCCGATGGGCTGCTCACCCCATGGCATAGGAAGGGCATCCCCATCCCCGCAGCAATTCCCACTTCTCCCTATATCCCTCCCAGCTTGCCCGGGTGCAGATCCTTCCTTCCCGCTCCCCACTCCGGCTCCCAGCGCCCCCGTGTCCTAACAGCTACTTGGCTTAACAGCCGGAGGTGCCATAAACTCCCCCGGCTAGGCTGGCCCAAGGGATTCTCTCCCTGATTTCATATTCCCTCCGTTTCTTTCACTCCGTCTTTCTTGTTCCCTCTCTCCCTTTCTTTCCCTGCCAGGAATCCCGCTCCCAGATGAACCAATGCTCCGTGGCTCTGCTATTTCCCTTTTATTCCCCCCCACCTCCTTCGTTCGACAGCGAGATGGGAAAAGAGTGAACTAGGAAAAAAAAAAAAAAAGAGAGAAAGAAAGAAAAAAAAAATCAAAGCTGCACATATTGGATCCAGATGTGCTCGTAGCCCTTTCCAGCAATTTAATTAAATTCCCCCAGACAGCCAGGAGGATTTCTTAATGATCAAATTTCCCTGGCTTTCCTCCTAAAATGCCCCTCTTTCTTCGGCTTGCCGCGGCTCTGTCTCCCTGATGGATCGCCAGGCACATTCTTCCCGGCCGCCGCCACGGGCGCGTGCAGCTCCCGCCGCCGGCACCGGGATCCGCGGCGAAGCCCTGACGCCGCAGCCGAGGGGCTCCCGCGCCGGCTCTCGGGATGGGGCTTCATCCCAGTCGTCTCTCTGGGCCTGACACCTCCATGCGCTGGTTTTGATCGGGCTCTTGGCGCCGCTCCGGACCCCCAAGGCCCCTCTGCAGCCAGCGGGGGTTGTTCGGATGGGGGCGAGGAGCGAGGGGGGGGGCACATTTGCGAAATGCTTCTGCGCTGGAATGCGGTGCCGGCGTTTCCCGGCCCCGGGGCAGGGACATTCTGGCTGCCAGGAGCCCAGCCAGGAAATGCAGGATGCTCTGGACTCCCCTGTGCCCGGGCTGGGCGCCTGGATGCTCCAGAGGGTTTGGGGCTCAGCCGGATGCTCTGGAGGCTCCGGATTTGCAATGGTGCCACCCCCCCGCCAGGGCCGCCCCTCACCCCTTTGCCCCTACTGCGTGCAGGCACTTGGAAGAGCTCCACCAGCATGAAATAAATATGGAAAATAGAGCAAATAAGGAAATAAGGAAGCCAAGGTGGCTCCGCTTGGCGCTGCACCTCGGCAGCGCTCTGCCTGCCCGGACATCCAACTAAGATGACCTTAAGGTTAATGGCGATGGTGATAATAGCTATAAACTTGGGATAACGGTCCCGCTGAGGTTCCCTGCTGCTTGGCTCTCTGAGCCAGCTTGGAGCAGTGGTCAGCATGTGCCACCAGGAATGTGTGTCTGGTCCCTTCCCATTGGGAAGGAGTGAGGGCCCAGCACAGCACTGCGGGATGCAGGAAACTGCCTTGGCAAGTGAAGCAGAGAGGAAGAGGTGCGAGGGAAAGGAGTGGGGAGAAAAGGGGACATGACCAGGGAAACCAGCAGGAGACAGGGATGGGGAAGGGAACGGGAATGGGAAAGGGAATAGGGACAGGAAGGGGAAGAGAAAGGACGAGGTGAGAAGAAGGAAATGGGAAAAAAAGGACAGGGAGAGAGGGAAGGACAGGGAAGGGGAGCGCGGGACGGGCACGCGCACCTGCTGCGCGCCCCCGCTGCCGCCCCCGCGCGGCCGGCGCAGG